CATACATAGACATGGAGGTAATCCATAGTGCTGCTATGTATTGTGACAATGGAATGTGAATATATAAGCATATAAAAATATGTACATGCACAAATAATCACATACATACACACACACATACATACATACTTACATTACATATATTTATTAAATGTTGGTGACAAACCTGGCGGTCAGGGAAGTAGATGTGGTGTTGAGCATAGACTTGAGTTCGTCCATCACAACATTCGCAGGCCATAGCAAATCCATGGGACATTCAACAAACACCGGACCAGGGGTGCCTAAAAAAATTGAAATGGTCAAGAATCTATAAATAGCTCAAAGTTTAGGACCATACACTGATAGTGACTACCCAAAGCTGTGCAAAGGTAAAGTTTCCAGAACACCTCACAATAGAGTCCTGCACAAAACACTTAAACCTATCTTTCCTGAATACATATCACGAGAAACCTGAATTTACTCATTGCAGTACAGGGGTAGATGTCACTTAGGGGTAGCATGCAATATACAGTGTGTACGAGAGGTTGTGATGGCATATGTACGAATAGTCACTCAACTACCTATACTATACAATACCATAGATTCAAATAGTATACAGTATCAATCGCATTTCACAATCGACTTCACTAGTCATAAATATCTCGTATTCTACACCGGGAATGAGATACACAAAAAGGAGACTGCTAAACAGATACAAACTGCATGAAATATATTATACCACACATATGCAGCATACAAACATACACATAACAATGTATACTGTATGAGCTGCCCATAAATATTGAGAATAAACAAACATACCGGACAGCGCGATATTGATAGCCTTCTCCAGCGTTGTGCTGAGATCACACACACGAGAGCACGTGAGAGATGCTTTGGTGATGGGTTTCATGATGGCGATGTGGTCAATGTCCTGTAATGAGCCCCTCCCCTTCAGCAGCGTTGATGTGGCACCGCCCAGAATGATGAGAGGGCTTTCTGAGTTTGTAATAAAGATGGAATACAAGAGCCCCGACAGCAGATATGAGTGGAAGATGGGTGCTCATGTGTTTCATAAATATGCTTCATCCAAAAAAAATTAAATCCAAACACGCACACACACACACACACACATATATATATATATATATATGTGTGTGTGTGTCTATATATATATATGTATATATTTACATACCTGCCATCATAGCATTCTGCACCGCCGTGACTGTGTTAGTGACACCCGGCCCAGCGGTTACGGCAGCCACTCCCACACCTTCCAAACGAGCGAAAGCATCCGCCGCAAAGGCAGCATTGCTCTCATGTCTGAAATCAATGATCTGTGGCAAAGGAGCAAGGAAACAAACACACAGAATAGTTTATATAAATCCAGACTTTGATATTTATTGACAATAACAATGAGCAATGACCCTCGTCACCTATAGACTCGTGCCTAACAATTTCAGGTATACTCTTGTATACCTAAAATATGTATGTCGGTATGTTTACAATGTATTTTACGACCGATTCCCGGAGGACCCGCAACCTGTCGCCAAAGCACTAATCACAAAATAAATCGCCCTCCATCATTCCATCTCTCGGTAGCTTGGGACAGAGAGGTTTGAGAGTTCCTACTCATGCAAATATCATTCACACAAAAATACATATACGTCAACAGATGACAAACACATACATTTACAAATAAACAACCAGGAGCCCAGCCGCGTCTGGAAACTATTCCAGCCCCGACCGGCTTCCTCTTCCTAAACTGGAGAGACCTGCCCTCACTACAGTAACGAACATCTCACAACAAACACTTATTGCAATACATAAAAGTACATTTATGATGAGCGGAAGTATTCATATGTATACCCGGGAAACCTGCACATACACAGATATATACAGGTAAAGAGGTACACAATTATACACAGCCACACCTTCAATCCTAAGCGCTCCGCTTCTACGTAAACGGGAGAAATGTGACCCCCCGAGAGCACAAACAGGTGAGAGATGTTGTGACGTTTGAGTACTTTGGCCACAGCTACACCCCCGGACTCGATACCCTCTGGGAAATTGCAGCAAGCCGAGTGTCAGTGAAGCCATAGTAATACAGGCCTGGATATATGCATAAATAGTACTAACTAAAATACAAACGTGACACAGTCTATAAATATATAAATATATAAATATATAAATATATAAATATATAAATATTAATATAAATATAAGTATAAATAGAAATAGAAATAGAAATA